CCACAGCAGATGAGTATAAGGGAAAGTTCTGCCTCATGCTCATCGTGTGACCCTGAGTAAGGCACGTCCTCTGGGACTTCATCTGTAGTGAGAATCATGAAGCCAGCCTGCCTCCCGGGTCTGTTTTGGGGATCCAGTGAAACAAGGATGGACTGTCCGTGCTTTCCTGAGGGCTGTGGCCAGGCCTCGGCCACTGGCCTCTTAGGCGTGGGCTACGTGCTGTGCTTTTGCTGTGGGAGTGAGGCTCTCCTCAGACACAGGGGGGCGGCCTGCCTCTGCTCCTGGGCTCCCCACTTTCCAAGCCTGTCTAGGGCTCTCTGCCTAGAGAAGAGCTGCTGTGTGAGGGCTCCCCAAGGGCAGGGGAGCTGGAAAAGCACACTGGGGACCCACAGGGCTCAGGGCTGGGGCTTTGGAGTCCCACAGGCCTGCTTTCTAACCATGGCTCTGCCACTTCCTAGCTGTCTGACATTGGGCAAGTCACCCTCTCTGAGCCTCAGTTTCCTCATTTATAAAGTAGGGACTAATTACAGTACCTGTCCTACAGGTATGGTGTGACTGTTAATGAAGTTAATGTATGTAAAATGCTTAGCACAGGGCTTGGGCTATATTAGGTGCTCAATAAACACTGTTTACCCTAAACTCCCAAAAGGCTAAGTGGGAAATCAGACCCTTAGCATTTTGGAGGTAACTCAAAAACTTGGAGCCCAGGATTTCCATCCTGGTTGCTGAGTCCCTGAGTTGGTTTTCTTATTTCGAATAGTCCAGCAGGATCACATGACCTCCTGACAAGGGTGCCTTGACTGAGCACTATCTGCTTTGGGCTGAAGTTCCAGCAGTTCCGTGGGCCTCGCTGACCCTGTTCTGATTACTCTTAGATTAATAACAAACAGAGCATGTGAATTATTCTTTTAAAAGTGCCGTTTATGTGGGAGATATAAATCTTTCCAAAGGGGCTGAGGTGGAGGGAGGAGGAGAACCAACAGGGGGGTGTCCTCCGAGGGAAGCCGTGGAAACCAGGGGAGCTGGTCCCACAGGCTGAGGCTGCCCTAGTGGAGACCCAGTGTGGGGACGATGGTGTGGGCGGTGGCAGGCCCTGCTGGCTCAGTGTGAGCTCTGGCTGATGGCAGGAGGCCCAGACCACCCACCAGAAAGAGGCCCTGAGGGTGAGTAGCCCCGGGCCCTAGTGGGGGCAGCCCGACCCACAGCCTTTGGGACAAATGGTGATGGGAATGTCTGAACCTCCTGAGTCCCCAAGCTCCAGCCCAGGCTGGCTCCAGGGCCAAACCCTCCCCAGCACCCAGTCCCTGCAGGCTCCCGACATCTCCCCCTGACCAGCCCCTCTTCCCAGCTACTCACTCTGCTAGGCCACCTGCACGCTATGTGCCAGCAACCAAGACATTGTGTCCCTTCCATCAAGGCTGCAGACAGAACTTCCTGAAACCTGGCGGGGCCAGTTGGCGATGGGGAAATGACAAGTTTTCCAGAGGTGAGCGGATGGACGGCCCCAAGCTGGGAACAAGAGTCTGCTGTGCCTCTGCTGGGCAAGTTCTAAACTCAGGTCAGCTTGACTCTGATTGCCACAGGCAGTCAGCGCTCAGAACACCTCTCCCTGAAGTCAGTGGGAAGGCAGGACACCGGAGGCCAGAGAAGGGCTGAGACTAGCCCAAGGCCACACAGCATGAACAGCAGAGCTGGGACAAAGCCTCCTGCTCTAAGGCCTCGACTGCAATACCAGGCATCTGCTCCAGCCCATCCCTGCCCTGTGGGACAACTTCACCAGGACACTTAATTCTCACTCCCATGCGTCCTCCATCCAGCACAGTGTCCACATCTGCTGGACAGCTGCTCCAGTGCCACCATATTTACCCTTAGTGCTGGGGCTATAGAAGGAGTTTGGGTTGCACAGGGAGACAGACTGGCCGCGTCCCAGTGGCCTGGCCTTCCTGCAGTGGGGTCCTTTCCCAAGGAGACCCAGGATCCTGGGCTCAGCTGGGACCCCGGGAGAGTTTTGCAGGTGTACAGGAAAGGGCAGGGCTGAATTAGGAGCCAAGAGAACATGCCCAGCCCCATCACTGACTTGAGCGAGTTGCTCTTCCTCTTGGACCTCAGTTGTCTCATCTACCAAATGGGAGTGGAGACGGGGATTTCTGCAGGACAGTGTCTAGCCCAGCATCTCCCCCAGAAATACACTCACCTGCTGTCTTCTGCCTGCCTCCCCTCCACACATTGCTCCTTCTCGGACTGGGCTGGTTCCGAGCATAAGGGGAACAAATCATTTTGTGTGCAAAACGATTCCCTCCAATTCCGACAGGGTGTCCCTCTGTGGATCCTGCCCCTCTCCCGGGCAGGTGGCAGAGCCAGAGCAGTGGGGCCAGGGGGCCGTGCAGCCCAGCCACCTAGAGGGCACAGGGATGGTTATGGGGGGCAGGGGCGTGCAGCCAGACCAGCCAGGAGGGGGGTAGGTGACTGTCAGGGCCCAGGCTAAGAGACCCAGAGGTCTGGGGCTGGCTGTTCTTTGACTCAGCTTCATTTTTCTCTACCTGGAAACCAACTCGTCAGAGGGGCAGCGCTGTTCCCGGAATGGTTTCATCCCCTAAAACCTGCGCTCGCTCAGGTTCCTGGGCCTGCTCAGGTTCCCGGGCCCGGACTCTCCATTTCACCGGAGCCCTGCTAGCCCAGCTCAAGCCGAGGGCAGGGAAGGGGGGAAACCGGAGCCCGCCCGGCTTGCAGCTCCCTGCATTGACCCCACAGGCCCGGGCAGCAGCCCCTGCCCTGCCGTCATCCTTGTTTCACATCAGGGACGGATCCTGTCTCTGGGGCTATTTAATTCTTCTATTATGTTTCCCAGACTCAGAGCCTCTGGTTCCCTATTGTCCTGAGCAGGCACTTTGCATTCGTGTAAAGATTAGACGCCTTAGAACCTTCCCTCTTCTCCCTGTGGTCTTTCTCTTTGACTCTCTCAAATCCCAGTTCTTTCTTTCTCCTACGCGCTGCTTCCTTGTTCTCCCTTGCGCTCTGCCTGTCTTTATCTGCCTCCCTGTTTGCTTTCCTGCCCGGCCTGACCCCTCCTTCTCCCTGCTGACCTGTTTTTGCTTCTTTCTGCTCTTCATGGTCCAGTGGTTCAAGTTCTCTATTCCCGCCCCCCATCCCCTCCCCCACCCTGCTTAATTCCTTGTTTATATTCTCTCGGAGGCGAGTAGAGATGACTGGGAGCATTGCTCACCTCGTTCCAGAAATACTCTTCCAAATTCTTAGAGAGGCACATGTGGGAGGGCAGCGAGCATTGCACGAGTCACTTGTGCTTTGCTGGAGAGACGAAGCTCAGGGTTCTGCCACCTGCCAGCGGTGTGGCCCTGGCTGGGCCTGCTCCTCTCTGTGCCTCCTCTTGGGCAGTCATGGAGCTGACTCCCAGATGGTAACTGCTGCCTCCTGGGGTTGTGGTGAAGATGAGCACATAGTAGGTGGTCAGGAAATGTGTGTTCTTGCTTCCGCTGCAGCCAGCCCAGCCTCAGGGAAGGAGGATGGTGCTGACCAGTACTTCCCTCCACGGCTTCTGCCCGCATGTCCCAGGATCTTGCTCTGGACACGCCCCAGAAAGAAGCTAAATTGCCTGTTCCTGGTGGTCATTGATTTTCCCCTTCATGACTGTCTGATGACAAAGGAGTTGCTGAATACAGGAACTAAAAATTGGGCAGCCTGGGTTCCACAGTTCAAGGCCAGGGGTGTATAACTTCACTGCCACCTCCAGAGAGCACTCACGGGGCCCCAGACGACGCACAGGGCAGGCTGCAGGGTCTGCCTTCTCTGGAGTTCTGGCCCTCGAGGTTGCAGAGGAGACAAGCCCAGTGTCATGAGTCCGTGGGAATTCCGAGAAACAGGAGAGCCTTTCCCACTGTGGCTGGAGACCGGGTTCCTGAGAAGACTTTGGCAGGAAGTGGACTCTGAGTCAGGCCTGGGCGGGAGGAGAGAGTGCCACTGTCCTCTCCAGTAAGGCTTCAGGGCCAGCAGAGGGGCCAGGAGAAATGCCACCCCCAGGGACCCCCCACTGCCTTGCCTTTTTTGCAGACAGTAGCCACTGAGGTGAGCTGAGACATCCTGTTGTGTCCAGGACAGGAGGCCATGCAAGGGCCACTTTGTGTGTGTGCCCACAGGGGCATCTTTCTGGAAAGGGCTGTGAAGCACCTGCTCAGTCTCCAGGGGGCCTGTAAGCTGAACATGTTAAGCACTCCCCTGTTTTGGCCTTATTTTGCAAATAAGGAAACTGAGGTCCAAGAGGGCCGTCCTTGCTGTGGCTACATAGCTGAGGAGCTTGTGGAAGGGACCAGAACTCTTGCCCAGGCCCTGGGTTGGTGGGGGAGGGGCAATTCCTGGGGGAGGTGGGGATGAGGCAGCTCTGGCTGGTCAGAGGTCAGACGTGAGCTGTGTCCTTCACTAAAGGAAGCAGGCCCAGAGAGGGCTCTGACTCGCCCAAGGCCACACAGCCTTGAGTGGTCCTTCCACCTCCCACACAACGGAGGGGTGTCCTTAGTCTGGTTGGCAGTGGGCAGGCAAAATGGATGGCAGGGTCTCCTCCAAGGAGGGGGAGGGTATTGCTCATGGGACCTCCCCCTCCAAACTCTCAGCTCCCAACAAGACCTGTGGGTCAGCCACAGAGCGGGGAGGAGGCTGGGGCACTTTGGGAGCAACTTGAGGAAGTGCAGCAGGATGGCAGGGGGCCCCTGGGAACAGCAGGGGAGCCCCAGGACTCCTAGAGGTGCTCCAGGTTCAGGGGAGGAGCAGGCTTCCCTCCGCCCTCACCAGGGAGGCTGGGGCGAGCCAGGTGCCTGGGGAGGAGGCGGCGTCCCTGGCTCCCAGCCCACCGGTGCAGCAGGGCAGGGCTGGACCAGCAGGGGCGGGGCCTTGGTGTTAAAAGAGGCAGCCAGGGCACAGAGGCAATGAGCTCTCTGCTCTGCTTAGCAGCGGGACACTGGCAACAGGCACTCCCTGCTCCAGTCCAGCCTGCACGCTCCGCCGCCGCTATGGTCTCCGTGCCCACTGCCTGGTGCTCCGTCGCTCTAGCCCTGCTCGTGGCCCTGCACGAAGGTGAGCCGCCCTGGCCTCACCTGCTGCTGCTGCAGCCCCCGGGTCTGGCTGTCGGGTGTCTCCACCTGGGGCTGCAGTGCCCCCAAGCTAGCTGGGGGCATACAGGGGCGGGAGACCGGCAGCAGCGGTGGTGGGCAGAGGGGGCTCTGCAAGAGCAGAGGTGCCCAGGCACAGGGCAGCCACTGGCCCTTCCCGCAAGGCTGCTAGGGCTTCCCTGGGCTGGCCCGGAGCTCCTGAGCAGCAAGAGAGAGCCGACTTCCTCAACTGTGCAAGAGGAGGTGCCAGCGGGTCCACCATCCCGGACTGTGCCAGGCACCCCAACCCACCTCTCCGCCTCTCTCTCCCTCCTGTGTGTGCAGGGAAGGGCCAGGCTGCTGCCACCCTGGAGCAGCCGGCGCCCTCACCCCACGCCCGAGGCGCCCACCTGCGGCTTCGCCGTTGTTCCTGCAGCTCCTGGCTCGACAAGGAGTGCGTCTATTTCTGCCACCTGGACATCATCTGGGTGAACACTCCCGGGTGAGCACCCATGGGCATCTAGGCGGGAGCTGCCAGGGTGGGGGCTACTGGCATGCTGGGGGGAACCTCTGCCACAGCCCAGCTCTCAACTGTATCAATAGTTACCAGTTATTGTTTCAACTCCCACGTGGGGACTCCCTGAGCCATGTGGAGGGCTGTCTCCTGAGAATTCTCACAACAGCCTGTTAAGAAAGTGTTGGCTCCGTTTTCCAGATCAGAGTACTGAGGCTCAGAGAGGTTAAGTGCCTTCCCTAAGGTCACACAGGAAGGAGTAAGTGGTAGGCTCCATCCTCGCTCTGTGGATGCCAGAGCTCACACCCACTCTGCCATGCTGCCTCTGCATGCTCTTCTAAGAATAATACGACTAATGACAGCACGTCTTCACTGTGCCAGGCCCTGTGCCAAGCTTGGCATGTGCATTATCCTGTCATGAGCCCCTTACCCTCCCCATGAGGCAGGCACTGCTGTTGTCCCCAAACGACAGGTGAGAAACCTGCCTTGTGTTACCCGGCTGAGCCCTGGTGGGAGCCCAGCGCTGTCTGTTCAGGCTGCACCCCCGCTGCCTCCAGGCTACTGCATACCTCACTCTGAAGTTTCTGTGTTTGTATTTTTTTTTTCCCTTCCCCAAATTGCAAAAGGCAAGAGAAGCCCGGCACGTAAGCGTGTGTGGAGCTAATCCGCATCCAAACACTCGCTCAGGGCGGGAACGCTGCCAGTCCCTGCGTGCCGGGTCTACCTGGAGTCATTACAACTCCAACCACACGGTCTAAAATTAGCTCTGTCACCCAAAGGTGCTGGTCCGACCAGCCACAGGGCCCCTGCCCTTCCCTTGGCCAGCCTCGATCAGACTCTGAATCTGAAATCAACCCCACCCAAAGACACACACACACACACACACACACACACACACACGCACACGCACACGCACATGCACACACACACCATTTGTAAGTCTCTAAGGCACATTTGTTACCCCTCTAGGCAAGTGGTGACCAGGTGGGGGTGGCTTAGCTGTGAGCCTGTGTGTTTAATTCTCTGAGATGAAGCATCCTCCCTTCCTCCAGGGCTGGCTGAAAGCCTTCTTTGAGAACAGGGCGACCAGCCTGGCTCCATCAGCTTGAGTTCCTGTCTGGGAGGACTCCAGGGCTCCTAAATTTGGGGGAGGGGACCACAAGTTCCACCCCTTCTTCCTCATGCTGGGAGCTCCCACGGAGCCGAGCCGGGCCCAGAGAGGGGAGGGGTCTTGTCCGGGGCTACCCAGAACTTGTGGAGGAGCCTGTGACTTTAGTGGTGGGACTTCTTAAAGTCAGGGGCTGATCGCTTTTCACAGTCACCCTGGTGGCATGGGTGGCTGTCCCAGTGTGTATTGTGGACAGTCCCTGCTTGCCAGTGGTTGTGGCTTATCTAATCTTCCTCTCTCTCTCTCTCTCTCTCTCTCTCTCCACCCACCCCCCATCACTACCTTGCTGGCTGCCTGCCCACAGACAGACAGCTCCTTATGGCCTGGGAAACCCGCCAAGACGCCGGCGCCGCTCCCTGCCAAGGCGCTGTGAGTGCTCCAGCATCAGGGACCCCGCCTGTGCCACCTTCTGCCATCAAAGGCCCTGGTAGGTGGGCACCCAGCCTGCGGGGGCAAGGGGTAGTTGCTCTCCTGCACCTGCCCTGGGGAGCATGTATCTGGAGAGCAGCAGAGGAGCAGAGTCAGGGCGAGCAGGGTGCTGCGGGTCCATAGGCCACCGTGGGTCACCCCCGAGTGGCGCCCACTGCCCCGCCCTGGGGGCTTCTGAGAGTACTCATGCCCTCAATCCTGGGCAGGAGGGAGTCCTCCCAGGTGACAGCTGAGGCAGAGCAGGCCCAGAGAGGGGATAGGACTTGTTCTGTCTGGCCACACAGCTGGTCAGAAGGAGGGCTGGGCCTTCAACTTTGGTCTGTCAGATCAAGTCCCACTGGGCTTTGGATTCCGACCTGAGGCTCAGGGGACTTTGGAACTTGCTAGGAGGAGAAATAACGTCTGCAATTGGGAAGCCACGGCACCATCCCAGGGTTGTCACAGAGTTGCTGGGGGGGCTTTGCCAAGTCTCCTAAATTCCCTGGGCCTCAGTTTTCTCATCTGTAAAATGGGTGGGAGATTCTGTTCCTTCCCTCCTCCCTTCCCGAATGGAGTATTCGGGAAAGCAGGAACTGGTTTCAAAATCCCAAGCTCCAGTTCCCATGATGGTTTACAAGAAACTCCTCCCCTGGGGTTCAAGCTGTGTCTCCGCCCCTGCCTCAGTTTCCCCTGCAGCTGCAGGTGGCTGAATTCTGGGAAGGCCGGCCACCCAGCTGACTATTTCTGAGCTAAGAACACATTCCAGGTAGCTCAGTTTTCCTCAGTCCCCACCCCACTTGGGAAAGGAAGGGTGCCAGGTGCACAGGGATGGAAATGGATCTGCTCCTAGGCAGGTGGGGGTGGGGTGGGGGCTGGGCTGCGCCTGCAGCCAGGTGGCTTCAGGGCCCTGGACAGCCCCTCACTTGGGCCCTAATGCTGTTCATTCAGGGCTGAAGCCGGGGCAGTCCCAAGCGGCAAGTTTCCTGCAGACGTGTTCCAGACTGGGAAGACGTGGGCCACTGCAGGAGAGCTCCTCCAGAAGCTAAGGTGAGGGGCACCTGCACAGATTGAGCACCTGCTGTATGCCTTGCACCTTCTTCTTATTCTCCATGTGAGGCAGGACCAGGTCCTCACGGGTCAGCTAAGAGAACTGAGTCTCAGAGAGGTGAAGCCACATGCCCACAGTCACGCAGTACTCAGTGGTATCTGGCCAACTCCGGAGTCTGTGCTCTTACCCACTACACTCTTCGCTACCACCCAGCCTGGAAGTGGACTTTTTAGAGGGTTCAATGGCTCACGACTGGGAAGGACCATGGTTGTTGGTTCAGGTTGTGTTTGAATCGAACATCTCCACGTGCTGGAGTGCAGAGAGCCGACTGCCTGGCCTCCTCCCTCCCAGCTGCCTAGACCAGATCTCCTCCCTGGTAGCCTCAGCGTGGCTCAGCTCGAGGCTTGGCACCCAGGAGGGGCCCATGAATGTTTGTCCAAACAAACTGACTTGAGAACAGAAACTCGCATCTGGGCAGGCAGCAGAGTGGCTGAATGATCTGAACCCCAATCCTGCCCCCCAACAAGCTATGTGACCTCGGGCTTGTCGCTGAACCTCTCTGTGCTTCAGGTTCCTGTTTCTGGAACAGGGAAATAGTGCCATCAGCCCCTAGGGTTGTTGCGAAGTTAGGTGAACTGACACACATGAACTGGGTTGTGCAAGGTCTGGCGCCCCTGGGAGCTCCAGCAATGTCAGCTGTCCCCACTTCTGTCACTGAGGGCTCCTGCAGACTGGCCAGGGTTTCCCAGCTCTTCAGGGTTTCCCATGTTTGGAGGGAAACAGAAAAATAGGAGAAAAGTCAGGATGGTGGATGGGCAGGACCCAGCATATGCTTAGGAACCATCTAAGGATGAAAAAAATCAGGGCTGAGTATGGTGGCTCACGCCTGTAATCCTAGCACTCCGGGAGGCCGAGGAGGGAGGATCACTTGAGCTCAGGAGTTCGAGACCAGCCTGAGCAAGAGTGAGACCCCATCTCTACTAAAAATGGAAAAAAATTAGCCAGGCGTGGTGGTGTGCACCTGTAGTCCCAGATACTTGGGAGGCTGAAGCAGGAGGATCGCTAGAGCCCAGGAGTTTGACGTTGCTGTGAGCTAGGCTGATGCCACAGCACTCTAGGCTGGGCAGCAAAGCCAGACTCTGTCTCAAAAAAAAAAAAAAAAAAAATCAGGATATGACTTTGCAAATTCACAACACTTGATAGTATGCAAAGCTTGCTGTGCCAATTTTGTACTCATTCTCACAAGCAGTCCAGGCCTGTTTTCATTTTACAGGCCAAGAAAGGGGCTCAGAGAGGCTGAGACCCCTGCCCAAGTTCCCACAGCTGGGAACTGAAGCCAACCTCCTAGTTCCCAGGCTAGAACTCTTGGTGCCAGAAAGTGACCACCTGGATGACACCAGGGCCCTGGCCAGGATCTCAGTCAGGTTCAAAGGGCAGTGAGGACCCATATTTGCCTGGGCTGGGCTGCCTTGAGCTGGGCCCTGAAGAATGGGTAGAACTGTAGTAGGTGGAGTTTGGGTGAGGCAGGGAAGGTACACAGCCTGGAGGAACATCAGGAGCAAAGGTGTGGAAGTGGGAGGACAGATCACTGGAGATGACACGGGGCTGTTCTTGGCTGTCTGGTCATTCCGGCAGCATTTGATGTTGAACATCAGCTTTGTCAAAGCCCCTGTAGGCAGAGAAGCTTCTAGGCCTGGTCTTCCCTGCTCTTGATGTGCAGACCTTGTTTTCAGGCTGTGGCCCCCTCTGACCCCGGAATCTGGTCAAGGGCTCTCGTTTCCATTAACCCTGCCTCTCCCGGGGAGCTCCTCAACAGTCCTTATCTCCTGAGATGCTAAGTAGATCCTTCTCCGTTCCCAGGGACATTTCTGCAGCCAAGATCCACTTTGCCAAGCGACAGCAGGAGGCGACAAGGAAGCCCAGGCCCACACACTCCAGGTGGAGGAAGAGATAGTGCTGTGAGCTGGAGGAACGTCAGGAAGGAAGCCTGTGTGGAGACAGGAGGAGAGGAGCCCCTTTGCTTCCTGGGCCAGGGTCTCGGTCCCAGCCAGCTGGACCCACTTGCGGGGCTTGGCACAAGCTCTGACCTCCCCACCCTGTGATGGGGCCTCCCTCAAGGCAGCTCCGTGGCATCACGCTGCCCAGGAAAGCCCTTGGCCTCCAGACTGCAGAGCGGCCTCCCAGCGCCGGCTGCTGGTGCACAGCCCTGCTGAAAGGAACTGCGTGGAAGCACGTTAATCTGGAGGCTGCGTCCTGGGGACAGTCCTGTCTACTGGGCTACACACCAGGAGCAACCACGCAGCAGTGGACACTCACGCCTAAGCCAGCCCTGGAGGCTGGATGGGTCCCCCAGGAGCCAGTGTCCTGGCAGGCCCTGTCTGTCCTCTCCATCCCTCCCTCCCCAGGGTCCTTGTACCCTCCTACCCTTTGGACACTCCTGGTGAGAAGGACCTGCTCGGCTTTACCCATCTGTATATAACGTATTTGCTCTAAGAACTTTGAGAATCCCAATTATTTATTTAATGTATTTTTCTAGACCCTCAATTATTTACCTGTGACCTTGTGTTTGTAATAAATGCTGAAATGGTACTTTGGTATTTTGCCTTGGCTGAGAGGGAGGGTGGTGGGAGGCTCCTCTCAGGAAGGGGCCGCTAGGGGGACAGAGGACAGGGAGGAAAGGCCCCAGGGGGTGTGGCTGGAGCCCTGGGTTCCACTCCCACCCTTGCTGGGCGTCTCTGGCTGCCAACCTGCCCTCTCTGGGTTTGTTTGCCTGTCGTGTGCCCAGACAGCCATCTGCAGCTGTGATGTCAGGATTCCAGGACCTTCGTTGCCACTAGGACAGTAACCGACAGTCAGGCCTCTCCGAAGAGCATGTTTGGAAGAAGCCAAGACCATGAGGGTGCGGGGACCCCTCCTGCTCCAGCTGCCCTGTCCCACCGGGGCTGACTGCAAGGCCCAGAGCAAATCTGTCCAGTGAGGGATGAGGCCAGGCCGATCCTAAGGCTATGTGCACCCTGGTGGTCAGTGACAGGTGCTGTGGGGGGTCCATAACCTGGCCCTGGTCTTGCCCCTCGCCCTGGGCCTTGGGAAGGCCCTGCTGAAGTGGGGTGGACTCTTCGCTGACCGAGGAAGTCCAGGGCTGCGGCACTGGGTTCGCCAATCCTGCCACAGCCCACGAAGCAGCCTACCTGGGTCCCAGGGACAGTCTGCAGCCAGGGCCAATCCTGCTGGCGGCTGCCTGGACTCACGGCCTCCACTCCACCAAATCCCCCGGCAAGCGAGTGTGCGCGTTTCCCGCAGCCGGCCTGCGCCAGCTCAGGGATACTGTGGACTGAGATGTGATTACGTGCACACTGCTCCGATCCTGCCTGGTCTGCAAAGCCAGCTCTGGCTCCCTCAGGGAAGAATAACATGTTGATGTGTATTGAGCTCCTGCTGTATACTAGCACTTTGTCCAAATGAACTCATTTTATCCTCACAACCCTGTGACATAGGTACTTTTATTATCCCCCATTTTACAGACTAGGAAACTGATGCACAGTGAAGGCACGTGACTGTCCTCAGTTTGCACAGCTAGTAAGTGGTGGCAGCAGAATCGGAACCCAGGCCGTCTGGCTCCAGAGTTGGTGGTGTGTGCGTGCGTGACAAATGTCTGCTGACTGAATTCATGGATCACCACTGCGTGGGACCTCGAGCAAATCTTTTTCTGTCTAAGCCTCAGTTTTTCATGTAGAAAATGGGAAGCGACAATCCCTACCGCACGGGGTGGTGTAAGCACCTATTACGATGCCAGGCTCAGCCCGGGGCCGGATGGGGCAGAGGCCGCCTGTCGGCTGTCACTGCAACTGTGATGAGTGGGAGGGACGGTGCTCAAGGGCGTGGGGCTGGCTGGGGTGGGGAGGGGTGGACAGAGGAAGACTCTGGACAAAGGTGCCACTGCTATGGCCCCAAAAGATGACATGAAATAAATAGAAAGACTCAAAGGACTCAGATAAATAGGAAGAAAATGGAGGGAATCCCAGGCAGGGGGAACAGGGAGGGTGAAGGTGCGGAAGTTAGAGTGACAAGGGAGGGTCCTCGGGAGGTCCCCAGGTGACCAGAGCATGGCAAGGTGAGAAGAGCAGGAGGTGAAGCCAGACAGCCCTTGAAGGCCCGGTTAGGAGCCTGGACTTCCTCTCGTGGGCCGTGGGGGACCACGAAAGGTCTGTGCACAGCAGGGGCCTGGGCAGAGCTGGGCACTGGAAATAAGCCCCGAGGGCTAGTCGGGGCTGAGGGAGAGCGAGGGGACAGGTGGTGGGGAAGCAAAGTCCTAGCAACCCTAGGGGTCCTCAGTGCGTCCCAGGCGGTGACCGGGATACTGCGATGCCAGGGGAACCTCACCTGGGGAACCCAAAGCAACAGCCAATGGCCCGGCCGGGCAGCTGGGTGGGGCAGCCCCGGGACCGCAGCTGCCGTGGGGCCCGGCAGAGGCATAAGGGGATCCTGGTGCAGGGTGCGTTGGAAGCTTAAGGAAGCAGATGTTCTCCACTCTTGGCACAGGCTCCAGTGGCCCTTGGCCAGGGTTCAGAGATCAGTGACCCACATGATTGAGCAACAGAGACGATTAAAGAGGAGACCCAGGAGGCAGGCACAGGCCAGGGCGATGCCGCAGTCCCTTAGTCCCTTAGATCCTTCTTCCTGGGAAACAGGGGCCTCTGGCTTGGGCCCTGCACTTTAGGGCCCCTGCTCAGGCCCTTATGCAGGCGTACCTCTCTCTAAGGGACAAATTTGCAAGGTAGTGGGGTCACGTGTGCCCGAAGCCTGTACCCACTCCTGGACCACACTCCAGGTAGCTGGGCCCCAACAGTGTAGGGGAAGGTGGGCTTGAGTTTGGGAAGGAGCAGAGAAAACTTTGCGAGGAGCAGCTGCCAGGTTGAACCGGCCCCTGGGAAAAAACGTGTCTAAATTTCAGGAAGCTTGGGTTTTATGGGGCAAAATCTCCCCTTTTCCTGCTTTTTCTGTAAGTACAGTACCATTGTTTTTCGAGGCTTTTTGAGCCAAATTTGTGTTCCTTTTGATTGGAGCACTAGACAGAGACAGGCCAGAAGGGGGCATAGGACGACCCAGATTTATTCGGGTTCCGTGGACAGAGGCTGCGGGGCAGCGAGCAGCTGGGCCCTGCATCCGAGCTGTGCAGCCTGGTCCCTTCAGGCACAGCGAGGCTGCAGACTGGGCCCGTTGCTGCCTCTCCCTGCCCATCACTCAGGAAAGAGCCCCTGCGAATGTCCCCCCCATCCCTTATTGAAAATAGAGTCCAGGGAGCTGGGTTTTCAGTTCAGAAAAGTCATTTGCTGATCAGGGTGATAAATTATTGGAATGTAGCCACCCATTCATTCAATTATGAATAATCACCTCTGGAGAGACTCTTGCGAGCAAGACAGACACAGCCCCTGCCCTCACAGGCCAAGAGAGAGCCGTTGAAGAAAACACTTGTTAAATATTAAGATAAAAATAATAGCTGACATTTATTGAGCACCTACTAAGTGCTTTCCACAGCAATCTTATGGAACAAGTTCTATCATTATTACTCCCATTTAATAGAAGAGGTAACTGAAGCACAGAGAGGTTAAGTAACATGCTCAAAGTCACACAGGGAGTATGTAGCTTAGCTGGGATTTAAACCCCAGGCTGTTAACTTCTATGCTGTCTTACCTCTCTGGTAGGATACATCCACCCTGTGACGTAGCCCCTGGGGAGGGGAAGCCCAGGGTGGCTTCCTGGAGGAGGTGACATCTAGGGAGTCAGTCGAGTGAAGGAGGAGGGTGGAGAAGAGGGTTCCAGGCAGAGGGAACAGCTTGGATGAAGGTTTCCTTCTTCACAGGAAGAGAGCTATTCCCAGCCTCCTTCAAGGAGTAAACGGAGGAGGGGCCTGGGAAAGGCTGGAGGGGCAGGCAGGAATGGGCAGTACCCTCCTGAGCCCAGAACACACCCTGGGGGGTGCTCTAGGCCGGGGAGACCTACATCACTGTCACCAGTGACATCACTGTCACCCCCCTCCCATAGCCTCAGGACATGTCTCCAGGAGACAGGCTACCATGCCAGAATGCCCTCCACTCGGGCTCGTGCCTCTGGGAACCACACTTGCTGCCCTCAGGGGTCCCGCAGGCTGGCAGGGAAGACAGACAAGGGCAAAGTGAAGGGACACGTTATGAGCTGGCCTTCCAGCTGGGAGCGGGGAGTGTTGAAAGTGGGTGGGGTTTGCATGTGCTGGGACAAGGGAAAGGGCATCGCAGCTGGGGGACGGCGTGGGGTGTATCTGGCCAGAGCGTGGAAGAGTCCAGGGAGAGGCAGCGGCCTGATCAGCAGGGCCAGGCTGGGAATAGCGTCCAGTGCCAGGAATTTGAACGTGAGTGATGGGGAGCCAGTGCAGGCTGCTCGGCAAGGGAGAGCCAGGACGGGAGCTTATGGTCGGCCCCTCCCTGGCCAGGGCCTCCCAGCCCCTCTCGGGGGAGAGCAGAGTGTGGGCCTCACCTTGGCCTGCCAGGGATCCAAGCCAAGAGCCCTCGGCAGCACAGAAGGGGGCCGTGTGCGGGCCCGCCGGGAGCCCTGGAAGAGGAATGCAGCCTAATTAATTCTCTGCAGCTCACAGGGCCTCGCCTTGTGGGAGCAGCTGCCAGGACAGGCCTGCCAGGACGCCACCAGCCCAGCCTGCTGTCGCTCAGCGCTGAAGGCAGCGAGGGCGACTGCAGGCAGGGACCGGGGGCAGGAACTCGGGGGGCGGGGAGGGTGGGACAACCCCTTGCCTCCAGGCACACACGTGTCCTCCAGCTCCGTCACAGCCAATAAAACAATCATAGGAACAGTAACACTGAGGCTCGGAGGCCCTGCTGGTGCCTGAGTGCAAGTGAGTGTGTCGTACTCGCTTCTCTAACACTCACAAGAACCAGCGAGGAACATACTGTTATTATCTCCACT